AGCCTCTGAAGTGAATTGAGTGGATCCTTTCTAATAAATATTCCAATGTTTTTCATAGTGATACAACTATCAGGCACCATTAATAGGGATAATGTGTTAAAAGCAGCATTCTGTTCATTGTGTTCCGCCTTCTTTCTGTCCAGCACATAGGGATCTCATCTTCCTTGTCACCTGTCATCTAATAGCAATGTGGAGCAGAAATATTAGGATATACATAAAATAATCTGCAATTATTTCAATAGTAGATTTGTGGTTGAAAAAATGGCACCATCATTTTTGAACTGAGTGTTTGTTATGTAAAAAAACAATTACTAGGAAATGATGTCTCTGCCTGGAGAGAATTGGTAATTGTCTACTTTTTAAAGTAATTTTTAACCAAAACGTACGGTGTTTGCCACCTAGTGGTTGTTTCTACGTCTTGTGCTTGCAATAAAGGAAGAGGCACTTCTTTGATCATAACTCTGAGTTGTATTATAAACATCTGAAAAGCTAATCTCTGTATGAATTCTAACTAGGTAAGATGTAATTATCTACTAGGAATTGCTTGTTTGTTTGTAGAGTTATAGGACTTAAAGGGTATTTTTGGAGATGAAACAGTATAGATTCTGGCATGTCTGCATCTGCATAATAATCATTTGTGGAAAAAGAATAAAAACCAATATGGAGCTCTAGTACCTCACCAGATTACAAAAACCAGGATTCTATAGGATGTTCACAGTTTAAATAAAATCATTGTACTATGCCTGTGTGGTGTGCATAGTATCCAAGGCTGAGTGATGCTCCTGATGTGATCAGTCTGTGGCAAGGAGTCCCCAGTGGTACAATGGGTTAAACCCTTGTGCTGGCAGGGCTGCAGACTGATAAATCAGGGGTTCAAGTTTTGGGAAAGCGGGTTGAGCCCCCTCTTGTCAGCTCCAGCTCCCTATGCGGAGACATGAGAGAAGCCTCCCAAAAGGTTGGTAAAACGTCAAAACATCCGGGCGTCCCATGGGCAACATCCTTGCAGACAACCAATTCTCTCACACCAGAGGCAACTTGCAGTTTCTCAAGTCTCTCCTGACATGAAAAAAAAGTCTGTGGCTATTGGCTAACCATGTAGTGTGAAAGAACTCTTGGACAGAGAGATTTGATTGATGATAGAAAATTTTAGTAAAACATACCTGGATAGAATTAGATTAGGGAAAACTAGACTACCATCACTGAAGTTCAAATCCAAAAATAAACTGTAAGTTTGACAGTGTTAAGGATAATTGGTGAGGAAGGGGCAGAGAGAGAAAATACAAGAATCAGGTCGAGTTAAGAATTTCTGGATTTATAAAATAAGTTTATTTCCTTTCCCTTTGCTCTTTCTTTGTCTAAAGATAATTTTGCAGAGGTTGGTTCATTTCTTGAATTTTCCTATTAGGGAAAACAAACGGTACCGAGTCTATGTAGTCATCCCTCTGCTGCCGGGATTTGAAGGTGATATTTCAACAGGAGGAGGAAATGCGCTGCAAGCAATCATGCATTTTAACTACAGGTATCATGGGTAGTTTGGATAAGGTGGATTCTTTTATTTTTAGCCACATATATGGCAGTCATTGGATAAAGGTATGGGCTGTACATGACTTTATTCAAGTGTCCTATTAACTTTTCACAAGCAAAAGAAATCTCTGATTCAGACCTTGCCTCTGAATCCAAAGGATTGATTTGGGGAGTGGTCCCCACCATACCTTAAGGGCCCTTTGGCAAAGTTCAATCTGGCAGAATTTCCTTGTATAGCTTTCATGGAAAGGCAGACAAAAACCCTGGGCAGGAGTAACCTTTGAAGAGAAGAGCTGTATTGCTTTTGAAGAGCTTTCAACACATCCTGGCCTGGCCTAACTCCCAAGACTTCTCTCTTCCCATGTGGTGCAAGAATTCATGTTTCATATTACTAATTCATCACCACAACCATAGGTGGGCCGTGGTGGCACAGTGGGTTAAAACTTTGTGCTGGCTGAACTGCTGACCTGAAGGTCAGCAGTTTGAATCCTTGAGACAGGGTGAGCTCCGATCTGTCAGCCCCAGCTTCCCATGTGGTGATATGAGAGAAACCTCCCACAGGATGGTAACACATCCAGGCATCCCCTGGGAAGCACCTCTGCAGACGGCCAATTCTCTCACGCCAGAAGTGACTTGCAGTTTCTCAAGTTGCTTCTGACACAATTTTTTTAAATTAAAGGGGACAGGCAGATGAGCTCCCTCTATCAGCTCCAGCTCCTCATGCGGGGACATGAGAGAAGCCTCCCACAAGGATGATAAAGACATCAAATCATCCAGGCGTCCCCTGGGCAACGTTCTGGCAGACGGCCAATTCTCTCACAACAGGAGTCACTCCTGACACAACAAAAAAATGCATATTGCTATCAAATAGCCAGCAGAGGGAGTACTGGCTATTGTGTTCTGCCTTGCTGAGAAAATCTCATATGAAGCATTTCCTCATTGGCTTTTTAATTAAGCATTTTCCATTTTTTCCATTTTCTCTTGAATAGCATTATTTCATTTATAGATAGCAGACTCCCTGTACCCACTACAAAATAGAAGAAAGGAAAGGCGTGGAGGTAATAAATTAAAAGCACACTCATTAATACTGATTTTCCAAAGAGCAGTTATGGTTCTTCCATAGGTCTGATTTGCATACCCAAGATTTTGCAGATGTGAGGTGACTCCTTTGAGCAATGCCTGCTGTAAAGTGTAAATGTGTCATAACAGTGAGTCGTAAGTGTGATTCATTCTTTAGGGACTCTTCAAGAGTAACCCAAACAATGTGAATCCCCTCAGTGAGAGATTTGATATCTGGAAATTGTCTCACATGACTCACACTGCTTAGGGTTGCTTACAGACAACATAAATTAAAAATGGAGTGGGTGAGACTTCTATCATCATCATCATCATCATCTCACATTTTCACCTAAATTGGGACCCAAAGCAGCTCACAGTTTAAAAGAACATCATACAAAAGTCAATACAATCAGCCCTCTACATTCTCTGGGCTTTCGGCCACAGCACCCTTGTGAAAGAGGGTAGGTTATAAAGAGAGTATTATTGTTATTATCATTATCATTATTGGGTTGTTGTAGGTTTTTCGGGCTATATGGCCATGTTCTAAAGCATTCTCTCCTGACATTTCACCTGCATCTATCCTCAGAGGATGCCTGCCATAGATGCAGGCGAAACGTCAAGAGAGAATGCTTCTAGAACATGACCATATAGCCCAAAAAACCTACAACAACCCAGTGATTCCGGCCATGAAAGCCTTTGGCAGTATTATTATTATTATTAAAGTAGGTTAAGGTAAAGGTTTTCCCCTGACATTAAGTCTAGTCATGTCCAGCTCTGGGGTGTGGTACTCATTTCCATTTCTAAGCCAAAGAGCCGGCATTGTCCATAGACACCTCCAAGGTCATGTGGCTGGCATGACTGCATGGAGCACCGTTACCTTCCCGCCGGAGCGGTACCTATTGATCTACTCACATTTGCATGTTTCCGAACTGCTAGGTTGGCAGAAGCTGGGGCTGACAGTGGAAGCTCACACCGCTCTCCAGATTCGAACCTGTAACCTTTTGGTCAACAAGCTCAGCAGCTCAGTGCTTTAACCTACTTATTATTAAAGTAGAAAGCCATAAATTAAAAAATATGTGACAGCACCTTTATAAGGTGTTGTCACATATAGGCTAAATGTTAACTATACAGGCTAGATGTTAACTATAGAATCACATGAGAGGATCTAGAGATTCCTAGAGAATATTTTGATCAAACCCATGAATACTCAAATCTGCAAAAGCCAAAACCACAAATGTGGAGGGTGAACTATTAATATTAAGCTAACTAGAATATATTTTAAAATCATTTCAACAGAAAAAATGAAATTTAAAAGATAAAGACTTTTAAAAACAGTTCAGTTAAAATGATACAGCACCTCCTAACCAGTTCTTATTAAACTTTGTTTTAAAAGTCTGACAGAATAATAATAATAATAATAATAATAATAATAATAATAATAATAAAGGTTAGTTTGCGGTGAGTGAGAGGCATTTTCCCCTTTTCCATGAGATCACATAATGTATTTTCCCACCTGATAATACACCATATACTTCCATAACTATGTATTACAGGGGACATTAAGGGAAGCTTGACGCAGGTGCCTTTTGGCACTTCCTTGTCCATCTTCATACCTACTATAATTTCATCCTAAATTCATTTTGCCCAGAGGCAGATATATGTCAAATGTTGCTTTTGGTTAGCTTGTCTCGATGTTAATAAACAGATGTCCATTTGCAAGCTTCAGATGGCCCATTCCTGCCTGTCCAAAGTGAAAAACATGCCTTTGCTTTGCTAGTTTGCATCAGAAATCAAGATTGTGTGGCACTTTTCCTCCTAAATCCAACCTTCTCTCACAGTGTTGCCTTAGCTTCTGAATCAGTTGTCTCCCCTTGGCTCTCTTTCCTCTCCATTTTACAGAGAAATGTATCTGGCAATTTTAATTAGCTTCATCCTTGTAAACTCATTCACATGCTGCTGTTTTGTGACTTTAATTGCGGCCCTAATTCTTACAGGACCATGTGCAGAGGAGATAATTCGATCCTGGGACAGCTGAAAACCGAGAGTAAGTGCTTTGCCTCGCCTCACTGTGCGCTTCGTACTGTTGGGCTTTGAGGACACTAAACTTTGATTGATACGCTATAAAGCACACGTTAGCCGCCACATAATTGCTGGATTGTATAACTAGGAGCACGGGAGGCCTCAATTATGTCAAGACAATCTTCAGAGTAAAGAAAACAAACTAGCAAAACAACATCTGGGTGTCAGATGAAAACAGAATATAGCTGCTGTTTTCAGCATCCCTTTGGATGCAGCTCAAAGTGAATTATTCTTCCTGTTTTCCTCTAGACTAGTGAATGTGGTTTAGTCATAAGAACTGGGAGGACAGGGAGAATCTGAATGCTAGATAGGGTATCTGTGGCCAAACACCACCTTAAGGATGTGTGATTTCCCCTATGGAACACGTAGACATTTTTGTGTGACATGCAACATCCACATTCAGTTCAGGGTCATGGAAATTTGATTGTGTGTTCCTGCATGGCAGGGAGTTGGACTGGAAGGTCCTTGTGGTCCCTTCCAACACTATGAAATGGAGTTCTTTGTACATGGAGATGTCAATTTTTGGCCAACAAACATCTCTCTGCCCTGCTGAAATTAACGATAGCGTTCCTTCAGTTGTGAATTTCATTGTGCATTCCATTGTACGATCCTATCATCCAATACCAGAATTACATAGGACAATTGTAGATTAAGAAAGATATAAAAAAACTGGGCCTTTGCACAGTTAAAGCTTGTGCACCAGCTGCGACTGTACCTTGAGGAGTCTGAGAAGTGGTCCATGCCTTAGTTAGAGAGTGGACAACTCCCTGTTAAAACAGCTCCACTGGCTGCCGATAAGTTTCTGGTCCCAATTCAAGGTGCATGTTATTACCTACAAAGCCCTAAACCATTTGGGTCCAGCCTATCTTCATGATCGTATTTTCCCCTATGAACCTGCGCGAGCTTTAAGATCTGCTGGGGAGGCCCTTCTCTCACTCCCACCTCCGTCACAAGCGTGGTTGGTGGGGACGAAGTAGAGAGCCTTTTCAGTGGTGACCCCCCGGCTCTGGAACTCTCTCCCCAGGGAGATTAGATTAGCGCCCACCCCATCCACTTTCTGTAAAGACCTACAAACTTGGATGTTCCAATGTGCCTTTGATTAATCAGTTCACTAGATTATTTGACTCCTGCACTTTAAAATTAGCCCCGCCCTTGCAGCTGTATTGCACAAATTGACTTGGTCCTTTTAGCCCTAACTTATTATCTGGCTCTTGAACTTTACTATCAGCCCTATCCTTGTAGTTCTATTGCATAAGCTCTTGTCTCTCTCTTTAGTTCTGAACATGTCCACTGTACTCGGCTACTGTTGTTGTTTTTTATATATATATAATATCTCGGCTACTGTTGTTGATTGATGGTTTATGTTTTTATTGTGTTATATTTTAATTCTGTTTGACTGGGCCTAGTCCCCATGTAAGCCGCCCTGAGTCCCTTCGGGGAGATGGTGGCAGGATACAAAAAAAAATTGTTGTTGTTGTTGTTGTTATTATTATTATTAGTATTACTATTACTATTACTATTACTATTATTATTGCTGCTGCTACTGCACATCCCTGATACGGAATTTCAGCTACTGTGTCCTGGTTCTAGAAGACAATGCCCTATTTTAAGAGATGTCAGAAGACAATTCTTTGTTTGACAGTGTCTTGCATGATTCTACACAGTCCAGCTCTCTTTAAAAATAATTATTATTAAAGGAGAAAGAACAAACTGTCCTGCTTCAGGACAAGGAGAGCTGACCAATTTGCTAACACATCAGCTTCTTGTTGAACCAGTAAGATGTTTCTCCTAATGTTTCACCAAAATCTAATCTCCATAACCTTTTCTTCCCACTCTCTTTTTACCTATTCCCCTTTGTGTTCTTCAGTGGGAGAACAGTGGATTAACTATATCTCCTTCTGTGGGCTCCGAAACCATGCTGAGCTGGAAGGGAAACTTGTCACAGAGTTGATCTATGTTCACAGCAAGCTGATGATTGTCGATGACAACACAGTCATAATTGGTACGTGAAAAAGTTGCAGACAATGTGTGTCAATTCTACTTGTGTGAGTATTGTGCCACAGACCAGAGATTTGCAGTACTCTAATCGTTTTCTAAGTTTTTTTTTAAAAAAACTGCCTTTTGAAAAGCAAGAAATTGAAATTTGTAACTGTAGTGGGAACTAACTTTATTTGGACCTTGGAAATGTAACTACAGTAGAGTCTTGCTTATCCAACCTTCGCTCATCCAATGTTCTGTATTATCCATCGCAGTCTGCCTCCTGCCTGGATCGACAGCTGTTTCAATACATTATGATGTTTTGGTGCTAAATTTGTAAATACAGTAATTACTACATAATGTTATTATGTATTGGAACTGCTTTTTCTGTCGATTTGTTGTAAAACATGATGTTTTGGTGCTTAATTTGTAAAATCATAATGTATTTTGACTTTTAATGGCTTTTCCTTCATCTTGCCTTATTATCCAACATTTTTCGCTATCCAACGTTATGCCAGCCTGTTTATGTTGGATAAGTGAGACTCTGAGGTATAGTTAAGAAATAACTTTCCAAGCTCTGCTCTGGCTGGTGGCAACTGCTGAAAGCACCTCAAGTATAGAGGGCATCATTATGTTAAATGGAACCACTTTGCTTGATTCTACACTTGACTCGATGTAATGTTTGAAGAATTAAAATGGATTGGTAAAAGACATTTCCATTTTGTCTTTTTCCATGAAGATCTTTTGTGAAGAACCAGACCCATCTGGCTCATATAAAAGTTGTGATTTATCTCACAACTTGGGCAATTTGTCATGTGCTCCTCTGAGAACAGAACATGTTGTGAAATGTGGCTTCTTTATGCCCACATGTGTCCTTCATCAGCTTCTGTTGGAAGGGCAACTAATATGCCAAAAATATGACACCAATTTTCCTGTTTCCCCCTCTCTCTCTCTTTTTCTCTCCCCCATACACACACAATTAAGAAAAGCTGACAGCCATGATGTGTTATTGTTTTGTGTTTATGTTACATCCTACTATGGGTAATTTCAGGGGGGAAGAGAAATAATTAAGATCAACAAATATTAAATAATGAAGCAACTAGACTTTTCTGGGAGGTGGGAATAATATTAGTTTGATTTTGTGCATTTTTGCAGTTAGAGCTTTCTTAACCTTGTTGGAGATAATCTAAGTGAAACAAGATCCATGTTCTGTTTTAGGCTAAAGGGTATTTATGTTTTTTCCACATGACTAATATGCATGTGCTAAGGTTTATTTACTGTATTATACCCCGACCTTCTCACCCAGAGGGAGACTGAGAGCGGCTTACAAATTATGGCAAAATTCAATGCCGCGGTATATGTGCCAGCTGCGCCCATACCTTGGGAAGTCTGACTTGGCCACGGTAGTCCATGCTATGGTTACATCTCGTATAGACTACTGCAATGTGCTCTACATGGGTCTGCCTTTGGAAACTATTCGGAAGCTTCAAATGGTCCAGCGAGCAGCAGCCAGGTTGCTAACCGGAGCAGCGCTCAGGGAGCATACAACTCCTCTGTTGCCCCAACTCCACTGCCTGCCAGTTTGCTGCCAGGCACAGTTCAAAGTGCTGGCTTTAGCCTATGAAACCCTAAATGGTTCTGGCCCAGCTTACCTGTCTGAACATATCTCTCCTTATGAACCATATAGAATTTAAGATCATCTGGGGAGGCCCTGTTCTCGATCCCACCTTCTTCGCAGGCGCTTTTGGTGGGGATGAGAGACAGGGCCTTCTCAGTGGTAGCCCCTCTGCTGTGGAACTCCCTCTCTGGGGATATTAGATTGTCCCACTCCCTCCTGACCTTCCAGAAAAAAGCAAAAACCTGACTCTTTGGACAAGCCTTTGAAAATGCAGCGTAATAGATAAACATGGAACTATGAAAGAACAGAACATGGAATGGCCTAGACAATGCTATTGGAAAATGAGATTAACAGGAAGACATTGATTTTTATATAATCTAAAATAAGCAATAATGATTTTCTCTGTTCCCTTAGTTGTACTTACTACTAAACATGTAGTTAGTCCTTACATTAAGTTGGGATGGGGTTTCAAATGAAGATCGGTTTGCATCTTCCACCACAACCACCATGGGAACTATTCATTCCAAAATGACTTTTTTTTAATAGGAAGGGTATTTCAAATTCAAGTGGCTCGGGATTCCATAGGATTCAGCCATGATAACTGAAGTGGAATTGTAGTGCTATAACTATATATTCATACTGTGGAAAAACCTCATGTTGCGCAGCCATTCAGAGATAAGAAATTTCAGGGGATGTCACTGGGAAATTATAGAGTTGAAAGAGACCTAACTTTCAAATCCCAATTTCTCATCTAATTTTCTGTCCATGCAACAATCGCAATTAAAGCATCCTTTGATAGTTGTGAATTCAGGTTTCCAAACAAGGAGGATACACTACTTTCCAAGATAGTGCATTCTACTGCCAAACAGAAAGTACCTTTGGGGAGATAGAGCCGAATATAAATAAGTTATTATTATTATTATTATTATTATTATTATTATTTAGTTCCGTTTCCTTTCCTATAACATGAATCCATTGGTTTGACTTTCCAGCGCTTTTGACCTATCATCTGGTCAGAAGTGTTATCTCAACTGCTTCAATTTTAGTTTTACTGTAGAATTCTGATAGAACTAGACCTACATAGTAGCCATTTCATGCCATTGTCAGTTTAAAAGTTGTAAGCAACATCCATGTATTTCACCCACCTATCATTTAGACGCAATCTTTTTTTTTAATTGCAGTTGGTTTAGCTACATTTTTTGTTCACAAGGATAGATGACTACAATAGGGCCTCTTGGTAGTGCTGTGGGTTAAACCTCTGAGCTGCTGAACTTGCTGACCGAAAGGTTGGTGGTTCAAATTTGGGGAACAGGGTGTGCTCCCGCTGCTAGGCCCAGCTTCTGCCAACCTAGCAGTTTGAAAAACATTCACGTGTGAGTAGATCAACAGGTACCACTTCTGCAGAAAGGTAACGGCACTCCTTTGCAGTCATGCTGGCCACATGACCATGGAGGTCTGAGGCTGAGAGGAGATATGATAGCCATGTATAAATATGTGAGAGGAAGCCACAGGGAGGAGGGAGCAAGCTTGTTTTCTGCTTCCCTGGAGACTAGGATGCAAAACAATGGCTTCAAACTACAAGAAAGGAGATTCCATCTGAACATGAGGAAGTACTTCCTGACTGTGAGAGCCGTTCAGCAGTGGAACTCTCTGCCCCGGAGTGTGGTGGAGGCTCCTTCTTCGGAAGCTTTTAAACAGAGGCTGGATGGCCATCTGTCAGGGGTGATTTGAATGCAACATTCCTGCTTCTTGGCAGGGGGTTGGACTGGATGGCCCATGAGGTCTCTTCCAACTCTTTGATTCTAGGATCCTATGATTCTATGAGGTGTCTATGACAACGCCAGCTTTTCGGCTTAGAAATGGAGATGGGCACCACCCCCAAGAGTCGGACACGACTAGACTTAATGTCAGGGGAAACCTATATCTTTACTTTACTTTAAACAGACATCCTACCCATTGTGAAATACCTTTCATTATGCATTCATAAACACTCCAGTGGCCAAAGTACATTTTACAATTCATATGTAATGTTATTGCTTACTCTTAAAATGAGATGCATTGGAATATATTGGAATTCTCATTGTGCTCGGAAAATACTCCAGGTTAAGAAGTGCAATCAAAGTTTGTTTTTCAAAAAAAAAAAGACTGTATGAATAAATTATGGATTGGATTTGCATGCATCTCTTCCTGGTAGCCATGAATTCTGTTTTAAGGAAAATAAATCATGATTTTGGTTATGATATCCCCAAATGGGAAGCTGGTCAGGAAAGGCGCTATAGCAAATCCCATTGACTCTGACAAATTGATCTATCTACCTTGTTTTGTCAGAGTTCATTAGTAGAGTGACAACACAATCCTATAGCTATCTACTGAATTTAATTCCAATTCCATTCACTGGGGCTTACTTCTAGATAATTGAGTGAAGGGTTTTAGTCTTAACAGAGATATCCCAGTTGCTTAAATTTCGAGTATAAGTTGTGCCATTTCTTCTAGTGAAAATTGATTGTGAGCCTCCTAAAAATCCATGTTTTTAATACACATACCCCTAAAAAACCATATATTTGAAACTTCATTTAGTAAGATGAAAGATTGCATACAGAAATGCATAAATTTTAAAATGTGTGAAAATATGTGTGTGTTTTTTTAATGTAGAAAATACACCGGTTACTTTGCAAGAAGGAATGAGCAACATTTTGTAATCTGATTTCAAATGAGAACGTGACAGGAATGCAGATGAGATTTGGGGAAACCCAGTATTATTGAAACTCGTTTAGCATCTTTATTTTAGAAGGATTGCTGGATATTCTGCACTTTTCCAAGGTTTCCTTTCATTGACCAATTTCCAATTGCTTTTGCAATTATTCCACACCAGCACTCTTTTTTAAAAAGAAAAAAAGTCCTCTTCCTCCTCTAATAATACTGACCTGAAAACTGTTAATGATATACACATGCCCGTGCTTTCTTTTATTTGGGGCTCAAGGAAATGCATGATTAGAGTGTTATCCTCCACCTGCCTGATCACAGTCACTGGAATATGAATAAATAAATAGTCTGGAGAAAGCCTATCAATGAAATTGGGGTGAAGCATACAAATTATGGTCTTTTTGTCCTCCTGTGGCAGATTAATTGAATGGCATCACCAAATTTGAACTATTTTGCTTATAATAAAGCTCAACTTCATGTATTAGAACCAGTGTTAGTATGCATTAAGGTCAAATCTGAATTGTAAATTGCTGTGGTACTTCCAAGTATTTTAAGTGAATTGCTTTGTTGATACCAAGTGTTTTCTGAGTAGCTTTCCCTCCTTCCACCCTCTCTCTAATAGGCTCAGCTAACATCAATGACCGCAGCATGCTAGGGAAACGTGACAGTGAAATGGCTGTTGTTGTGCAGGACACGGACACTGTTCCTTCTGTCATGGATGGAGAGGACTACAAAGCTGGAAGATTTGCTCAGTCTCTCCGCCTTCAGTGCTTTAGGTATCACACATGTCAAATGTCATGATGAAACATCTCTCTCTATATATATATGCTCTGTTTGTTTTGAGTGACATCATAACTCAAAAATCGCTGGATTAATTGCCACCAAATTAGTCCACAAGGCACCTTCTAACCCAGGGAGTGACCATCACTCAAAACATTTTGATTTTGTCATTTGAGAGTTGTAGTTGTTGGGATTTATAGTTACAATCAAAGAGCACTCTGAACTCCACCAATGATGGAATTGAACCAAACTTGGAACACAGAACTCCCATGGCCTACAGAAATCACTAGAAGGGTTTGGTGGGCATTGGCCTTGAATTTTGGGATTGTAGTTCATCCAGAGAGCACTGTGGACTCAAACAATGAAGGATCTAGACCAAACTTGGCACGAATACTCCATATGCCCAAATTTGAACACAGATTGAATTTGGGGAAAATAGACCTTGACCTTTGGGAGTTGTAATTGCTGGGATTTATAGTTCACCTACAATCAAAGAGCATTCTGAAACCCACCAACGATAGAATTGGGCCAAACTTCCCACACAGAACCCCCATGACCAACAGAAAATACTGGGTTTTCTGGTGGTCTTTAGCAACCCTTCTGACACCTCCTTGCAACTCCCCCAGGGGTACTGATCCCCAGATTGAGCAATGCTGCCTTAAGGCCACCCAGTCCAGCTCCCTTCACCAGGGCAATAAAACATTAATCAAAGCCCTCCCGACAAAGAGTCATCCAGCCATAGATATAGATAGATATATATGATTCACACACACACACATGAAAGATATGTATCATAAATTTGAAAGAGACCCCTAAAGAAGGACAATAATGTGTTGCATGTACCAGAGTAGGCAAACCAGTCAATCTCTACATCAACAATGACAAAGGAACAAAAAGAAATACTGTTTACTCACAAGCATAAAGAAATTATAAAGAAACCAACACTTTCGCATTACTTTATTTTCCAGATCACTAGACTGGACCACAGCAAAGCATGGCAGCGGATGGCTAGCACTTTACAAACAATAGATCTTCCCAATTTTACAGTGCAGATTTATGCATGAGTTTATTACCAGGAGACTAAGTAGGATTACAGCCTTGAGGTTATGTCGTCACTCTGTCAATTATCTATGTAATCAAATGTGTTTTTTTCACTGATGAAACTGCTATCAATTAGCAGTACCAGGAAACAGTGACTCCTCTTTGCAGCCCAAGAAATTGCCCTCCCATGGTTGGGGGGTAGGGGGCAGGGGCATCTCTATTATTAGAAATAGTGGGGTGTCCACTGCAGGTAGTAAGTGAGGTGCAGCCGTAGCAGTTTTGTGCCTATTATTTATTTATTTATTTATTTACTGTATTTGTGTACCGCCCCTCTCAGCCTTCTGGCAACTCGAAGTGGTAGGTTGTAGGCCATAGGTTCAATCCCTGGGTTCTCTAGGAAGGTCTACAACTCTGAACAATTGCCATGGTCATTCTGCCTAGAAGATTCTGAGTATTACAGTTTCAAAAGGCAGATTTTTCCAAGCTCTGCAGAATATTTTTGTCAGAAACCCTTAAGAGAATCTTTAGTCAGTACTGAGATTCTGTGTTCCAAGAAGATACTTTGTTGTTTATTGTGTTCCTTCAAGTCACTTCAGACCCATGGCAACCCTAATGTGACCCTATTTTCATGGCAAGATTTGTTTGGAGGGAGTTTGCCATTCCCTTTCCATGAAACTAGGGAGTTTGACTTGCCTGAGGTCACCCAGTGGGTTTCTATGGCCTAGTGTGCATTTGAACCCTGGTCTTCAGACTCCAGATCTAACACTTTAACCACTACACCATGCTGGCTCATTCTAAGAAGTATAGAGACTTCTTGTTGACATGGTGGCGAGGGAAAAGAAAATAAGTATATCTTTTGCTGCAATATAGAGGTGTTTTGTTTTTTGTTTTTTTTTTTGAAGCTTCCATCCCAATATATGTATGTGCTGCAATTAAACCAAAGTAGCTAGCTCTTGTCATGTCTATTTTGACCTTTTCTATGTCAAGAAAGGAACATTTCAGTTCAACCTCAATTGATAGTCTGGTTTTTAAATGTGGTGGTTCTTTGCACTAGTGCTCAAATCATGAACCAAAATGAGATGAGGATATCTTAAATCCATTTGCAATACTCCCAATATGCTGTCCATTTCCCATTGAGGCCTTTTGGAGTTTGGAGGCTAATAGGAAAGGCAACAGGGAACATCAGAAGTTATCTCATACCAAGTCTGGCCACTGATCTGTCAAGTCCAGTATTACCACTTCGTATCATCAGAGTTATAAGCAGTCTCTAGCCCAGTTTTGAGATCCTTAGTTGTCATCAATCAAAGTACTTAACACCAGTAGCCTTGTTATTCTCAAGTAAGAGAAAATTTTAGGATGTGTTTGGGGATGGTATGTCATTTCTTCTTATGACTTTCTGTATTTGACATGGACACATGTCGCTAGTTTCCAGAAGAACAATCTCATAGTTACAATGTTGGACTAAAATCCAGTGTCCCAGCCTTCTCTAACCTGGAACCTTGCAGTGTTGGACTTCAACCTCAACTTCCCAGCCAGCATGGGAACCATGTCAGAATGATGCGGTAGAGTTTATGGCTCAATACTTCTGGAGAGCAACAGATTGGGAATGTTGCTGTTGGTTGAGAATGCTCAATGGTAGAATATATGTTCTACCTCCAGAAAATCCCAGCCTCCTGAGTTAAAAGTAACACTTACAGGAAAGATTGTTCCTAGCCTGAGACTTGATGCCTGTCAAAGTAGACAATATGAGCTTGATGGGCGACTAACTGACCTGGCATGTGTCCACACATGCCATGCTCATAGTAATTTGATATCATTGTATCTTCCATCACTCCATTTTATGGAATTCTGGGATTTGTAGTTTGGTGTAATTTGGTATTTCAGATTCTCTGTTAAAGAGCTCTAGTGTTGTATTTGGCAGGGGATGGATTAGAGGTCTCTAGCAGAGGATTTGAAGAACCTCAACAAATTACAAATTTCAGGTTCTGTAGGATAAAACCATGGCAAATTAAATGGTATCAAGCTGCTGTAATTTTGCACTGTACATCTTTCTCAGCATGAGGAAGCTTCCTATGATGCCATCATTTTGATTTATGATTTAACCTCTTGTCATTTCCAGCTTGAAAACTTGCATCCAATTTACACTAAGTCTGGCCACATGTACACAATACCCTTCCCAATCTTCCTTAATGTACTGTCTTCTCATCTAAAGGCGTCTTTATTTGAAAAGTCTCTCCAAAATGAATGCTGCCACTGCCAGAGTGTGAAATACAATTAGCAGGGCTTCTTGAATTGCAAGTGCTATCAAACTGACCAGATGAATGGCAGGGGAGCTGCCACGGAGTAAATTAACCAGGGTTTTCTTTGACATATATCTGCCTCTCTGAAATCCACAACTCTTGGGTAATCCACCTGGACAGTATGAAAAAAACAGGACAGGGCAATCAGAAACTTCATAATCAATTTCAAACTTTGGTTGTCTTTGACTCAGGAAACTTCAATTTTTTCCCTAACACCTTTTTTACTGTGTATTTTTGATTCCAAGAACAATCATCCCAAAGTACCAATACTGTTACATTTTCATGTGTTCCTTATTTTCTCCCGTCCTCAGAGTTGTCTTTGGCAGTTCAGTTGACGCAAATGATCTCCAAGATCCTGTTAGTGACAAATTCTTCAAGGAAGTGTGGGTTGCTACAGCTGCACGCAATGCCACCATTTTTGATAAGGTAAAATACTTATTTGTCGCTGTTGTACCTTTTGCTGTTGAAAGATGTAAAGGGAAGTGCAGATGACCTGGTTTTGTAGGTTAAAAGGTAAATCTAGACAAATAGGGAGTCAAAGAATGTTGGTTAGACTTTACAGAGTTTAGTTGTTTGCTAGTTTTGCCTGAAAATCTTCACCAACATATTTCATTTTTTTCCTCCACAAAGTAGAAAGTCTGAGAGATGAAGAAACTTAGCAAATATTGTCAATTAAATGCAGGCAGCATGACTTTCTTAAAATAATTCGGGCAATTTTGAGATTGGAGATGAATTTTCTGGTGGCGCAGCAGGTCAAACCACTGAGCTGCTGAACTTGCCGACTGAAAAGTTGGTGGTTCGAATCCAGGGAGCAATGTGAGCTCCTACTGTTAGACCCAGCTTCTGCCAACCTAGAAGTTCATAAACATACAAATGTGAGTAGATCAATAAGTACCACTTCTGTGGAAAGGTAACAGCACTTCATGCAGTCACACTGGCCACATGACCTTAGAGGTGTCTATGGACACTGGCTCTTCAGCTTAGACATGGAGATGGGCACCACTACCCAGAGTCTGACACGACTAGACTTAATGTCAGGAAAAACCTTTACCTTTACCTTTTACATATATAAATCTAGACATTTTAGTACTAAAAATCAGCCTTAAAAAACTGGGGTTTACTTATCCACGGGTCAATGTTATTTTTTATTTTAAAGAGATTTGTCTTCTTTTCTGAACAGAGTACTGAAAAGCAGGGCTTAGGTCATCATAGAAAAACCCAAAAGAAGCCTTGGACACCCCCCCCCCAAAAAAAAACAAACAAAACACACACACACGCACACCACCATGGCACCACTTTTTGGCCTATTTGAATTGTCTGGGTGAAAATGCTAATGTTGGACTTTTCCCTCTTCATACAATGGCCTTTTACTTATCTACAGGTCATGTTGTTGTTGTGTTGTTCATTCGTTCAGTCGTCTCCGACTCTTCGTGACCTCATGGACCAGCCCACGCCAGAGCTCCCTGTCGGCCGTTACCACCCCCAGCTCCCTCAAGGTCAGTCCAGTCACTTCAAGGATGCCATCCATCCATCTTGCCCTACAGGTCATATCTACATCCATAACATTGGCTGCCAAACCTGCCCTCAAATGAGGTTGACTTACACAGGAATATAAATGGTTCTATTCTAGAGCTTTAGTAATGTTATGCTCTTCTAATGACTTCTATCCTTTATCTCATCTAACATTTCTTGAATTAGGTTTTCCGATGCCTTCCCAGTGACCAGGTAACCAACTTAGCCCAGTTACGGGAATTCATCACCATACCAAAACTTGCTTGTGAGAATCCTGCAAAAGCAGCAGAAGAACTCAAGAAGATCCGAGGATTTCTAGTCCAGTTCCCTTTTCGTTTTCTAGATGAAGAAAATTTGCTTCCTTCTGTTGGAACAAAAGAATCCATGGTTCCCATGGAAACTTGGACTTAAAACGACTTAGCCTAAATTGGATTTTTTAAAAAAACGGGGGAAAACCCAGGGTCCCGTGGAAACCTCCTGGATGAATTTATGGTTGCCTGGGACCTTTTTGCCCTTGGAAGAGAAGCCTGCACTGATCCAGAAGTGCCTTTGATGGGAGAAAAATCTGATATATCAGGGAAGAACAATGGATAACTGACAAATTCTACCTACTAATAAGTTATGCTATATTTAAACAACCTGAAAATGAAGGGAATGCAAACCAAGAGTCCATAAATCATACTACAAGACACTGCATTTGTTCCATGCATGCTTAGTTTCCATGTCTGGTTCTTTGAAACAACTGGGATATGCCATCGGCTGATAATATCCATTGGTTCAACTGTTCAATATCTGGGAATCCATTTTTACACTGTAATTTAAAGCCACTTCTTATGGAATTATCTCTTGTATCAGGAAATGTGAATATATATATCTATGTGTCCAATTTCAGAGCAATGCACTGAAAACTTAACTGAGTGCTGTGGAGATGCATGTGCTGTAATTGTGACAATGCTCCCATAGTGGTGTGTAGGCAATTTATGTTGCTTAAATCTTGAACTCTAGATGATCTAGCTAGAGTTTCTTTTTTAATTCCTCTTTTTGGTTTTCTCTAAATTGTGTAACAACTGCTGAGAACACTGCGTGATGACACAATACTACTTTCGGCATGACTGTGATCACTGTTTATTAAGTAGGTCGTAAAACTTTGCACAAAAACCTTCTCAGCTTTTCAGCACTGTATTTAGAACAAGAAATACTTGGCATGCTCACATGTGTCCCATTAGAACAATAAGTACTTATACTTTCTGAGACAGTGCTGGAAGAACTTGGTACTAGTTAGTCCATCCTGTTTTGTGCACAAGCTTGCATAAAAGTATTTCTGGACAATGGATTGCCAAGGTCCACAGTTTCCCAGAAGGGACCAATTAACATTTTTCTGCTGACCACTAAATGTGACAAAAAATTGCTTGATCAAGTCTGTAATGTCTGCAATCAAACAGGATACAATATGTTTTAAGATATTTTTGTTGACATAGTGGCGTGTCTAAGTGCTGGATTAAGATTCCCTGCTTGGCCACTGAAACCCAACCACATGCCATTGGGGAAGTCATGCTCTCTAAGCCTAAGCAGTGACAAATCTCCTCTGAAAACTGCCAAGAAAACTGACAGAGTTGTTAAGTCAGAGTTGAATTGAAGACGCATAACAACAATAAAACAATCACTTTTGATCCCCTGCTGCTGCCAATGAACTGTAAATTATCATTGAGCAAACAAGTATATCATACAGCATGAACAATGTACTAAAGCAGAATTAAGTGGGAAGGACTACAGTTCAGTAATTTACATGCAAACTTGTCTAGGATGCAGCCATTGTAGGATGCAGAGATGACTCAAGAGGCAAATACAGAGTAGACTTGAAGGGGGCAGTGCTTGTACCCATAAAAGCCACTTTGTTTTCCAGGGATGAATCATCTACCTGGTCAGAAATTTGCTTTTGCAGGTCTGATCTCACTTCATAGGTACCTAGCAAAAATGGCAACATTGCTGCTTAATTACTATCACTGTTTTCTTATAGAGGCAAAGGAAACTAATCTAAGACTTGTAGTTATCCCACCAGGGAAAATATGTGATGTTTTACTGAGCATAGGTTTAACTTCAAAAAATGGCAGTGTGTTTTTTTAATAGTCTAAAATGTAACTGGCATTTCCATCTCCAGCTTAAGCACTTATGTCACCTGCATTAATTAGATATAGAACACTGTGTAATTTCAGCCGATAATAAGAAACACTGACATTCCTCAAGGGCAGACCCAGTGCCCAACTTGACTGCAAGTGACTACAGAGAGAGGTTTTTCATGCTGCTCATTAGTGGCATAGTCAGAAACCATATGCATTCTTCAAAGTCAGTGATTTGGTGGCGCATTTTGATCTTTCAATAATTCATGCCCAGCAGCCTTACAGGGAAGAACCCACATGGCTAATATGTGTTTCCATAATGTATCACCTATTGCATTTATCACTTTTGTGCTTTCTCAGGATGAGGTTTTTTGAAAAAAAATTCATTGTTACTTGTCATGAGCTTTGAGGACAATCCCATTTTTGGCAAATCTGGTTGATGCATAGGGCTGTTTTTCTGGGAGACCTTTGGAAGTGTAGGGATTAAGAATGGACCACTTTGTCATTCGATTCACATTAGATTGTTTTGAGTAAGTCTGACTCTAGTTCCAGAAATCCCAGAAGTAGCAGGGACAGGAGAATGAATGAATTAATTATTTCAGAGAAGATGCTTTTTGGTGACTTATTCTTACATAAATGAGGTTCATACTTTTTCAGAAATGGCGTAAGGAGGTATCAAATGTCTTCCTTACACATAGATTTTGGCTCAGCTGTACAACTGCTATTGTATGGTACTGGGTGCAGCTGGACTCCCCCTCTAAACAACCACTGATTAGTAAAGGTGCCCATCATATTGTCACCTGGCTGTAGCTGTCACTGTTGGAGATTTCCATGTAAATATAGTACTAGAATTTTATGCTCCACTGGTGCTGAAGTTAAGGGGAAGTTCAGTTTTGCGGAGAGAAATAAAAAATGTACTCATTGTCATATAACTATCACAGAGAGCTTAACTATTGGAGACATCAGCATTGATAGACCAGCAGTGAATGTATTTATGTGTTGGATGTCTTTATAGAAATAGCAAACCATTGTCCCAGAGGAAAAGTGCATGGTTAAAATGGCAAACTAGGCAAGAGCCCCAGTGCCTGTTTACAGCTGCAGAAGTTTATTTGGCAGAATTGTTTTGCACAATATTTTCTCAAAAAATTATAATGTCTTTGATAGGGATACATTCTGTTGAGTTAAATTGAAAAAAATGAGCCATCTCATGGCACTTTTGGGCTATTGATCTGTTCAGTTTCGTTACCCAGAGAAGAAATAAGCCAGACAAGAATGAGAAGATAACCTGGATATCAATCATACTTTTTCATTGACCCTGTGATATGTCTGACCTCTTTGTGAATCACTCTACCTTGATTGGTCTATGTGGATTAATATTTTAAGTGTTCTGCTGACCTTGACTCCTTCCTATTTCTCTAGCTTCAAATTGCATGTCACTCTAGGAACTAAAATCAGAAAGTAGGAGATATTGGTCTAAATTTATCCCATGAAGACCCCAGGATTTTGCCAGCTGCTGAAGAATCAGAAGGAGTACATCATTTAATTTGGGGAGAAGCCATAGATGTAGAATGCATGCTACCTATTTTCACCAGGGATGGATATACTTAAAGGACTTTTTTATTAAAAAAAATCCAGATTTTAAACAAATTAGATCATACATTTTCCAATCTACTTCAAATCACCCAGGTATCTACCAATAGATCTCAAATGTTCTGCTGACCCCTGATTCTCAAGGCTGGGGTATTTTGAATAACATGTGGAGATGTCCTTGACATGCTCATTGTCATTTGAGATGTAGCTGTTAGATAACATGTTAGGGCCTTCTCAAATTATGGCACACCTGCTGAGATTGTTCAGCATGGTTTGGCATAAAAGCAACTTGAAGGTTTTGCTTCCTTCCTTTTTATGTAATATTGTTATGTTGTCGTGTCTGTTGTTCTACATCAATGTCATTGTTATTTTATTATTGTTCTTTTTACTGCTGACTGTATATGCCATTGGGGGTCCATGTGTAGAAGCAAAGGCAAATTACAAACTGCTTTATTAATAGAAAAAGGACTCTGGTTATACAGACAGGAAGGCACCCTATGCACTTCTCCTAGAGTCACGACTTTTTGGGGGCCTTCATGAAAACTTGATCTCCCATTGCTGCTGTAATTGATAACAGTTTGAAGCCTGCTGAATCAGGAATCCATGAGATTGAAGGACAAAAGGCAGTATTGATTGAAATAATCCTGCAGCCAGTATAGAATCAGAATGAAAGCCAGCAACTAATGGAATTCAGAGACACTTTCCTTCTGACCTTTTTAGGGGGGAAAGAAGTGTTCTTTTTGTTTTATTGCAGTCATCACAAGCTCCTTTGTTTTCTCAGCATTGCTTCCCCCCTAAAATAGATGTAGACACTGAGAAGTAAGTATAATTTATTTGTTTCCATCCTTGATACAGAGATGATGGAAGAAAAACAAAGTAAGCTTTGTAATTGGCTGGTGAAGTTCTTTTTGCATTAATGGAGTTCTCGCTGGATTAACTAGGTGGCAAGATAAGCCTTTTTTTAAAAAAAATCTTTAGAGAGATTGGAACAATGTTATGTATCTGTGAAAGTACATGAACACTGAATATGCCTTCTGTGAAGGATGCAGCAATGCCATTTGTTTTGTTTTATACTGTCAATCTTGCTAATGGCTGCTTTTGTCATGATTTTTCCTGCCTCTGTAATTGGGAATACTTAACATGTTCATCAGCTGAAAAAAATATAACTAAAATGTAACATATCTGCAAAGTTTGCATTAATGGGTCTTGTTTATGAGAGTCCTAGAAAGCTCAAAATCTTAATCTCCTTTCATGTTCGATCAAGCACGATATGAACCTTTCTCACTTGCAAATGGCAGAATTAAGATCATTTTATTTCAGTGTGGGCTTAGTAGTAAATTGAGTGCCCGCAGATACTGGATTTGGCATTATTATTATTATTATTATTATTATTATTATTATTATTATTATTTCTTACCTGCCTCTCCTCAAGGCTCAAGGCTGGTTACAGCACTGTCAAACACACAAACATTGCAAAAATTCTATAATCACACATATTAAAATGTAGTTCTATAAAAGATACATATTAAAACGTATTTCCATATAATACATATTAAATACACAGGACAGAGATTAAAAGACAGGACACATGTTTTTAATTCATGCTTAAAACTGGCTGGATAGGCCTGACAGAAGAGATAGAACTTGAGATGAGTTTTAAATTCAAGCAGCTCATTTAGCTGCCAGAGCTCTTCCAGCAGGTCTTTCCACATCTTTGGGGCAGCTGATGTCAAGGTACTCTGGGTGGTGTTTGCTAGTCAAGTTCTGACTGGTTGGAGTAGCCCTCCCCTCACCCCAGGGGACCTAAGTCTTTGGGGCGGATTGTATGGGAGAAAGCGATCCTTTAGTTAACCTGGACTCAAATCATATAGGACTTTAAAGGTCAAAACCCAACACTTTGTACTTTGCCAGAAACTAATTGTTAGCCAGTAGAGTGACTTTAGGACAAGGCTAATATACTCACTCCTGGATATTCTCATAAGTAGCCAGGCTGCAGTATTTTGAACCAGCTGTAGTTTCTGATCTTGAAGAGACTCCCCTCTGGGGAAACAGCTTTCCTCCCAATCTCAGTACTCTCCATTGCAGAAGTCCAAAACTGAAAAGGCTAGCAATACAGATAAGGAAAACAAAGATATTTTGAAATGTTGATATTTTGAATGGTTCGATTAATTTAAAAAAATACCATGCCAGTCTCTTGAAGCAGGATTGGGAAAGAACTGTCATTGTTTGGTAGGGGACGACCTACATGTCACTGAAATGATTAATCACAGGCAAATTTGACAACTCTCATCCCAAGTTTTTTGCTGTTTTCTCCAGTTATATACTGATTCCTGAGCTCAGAAGACAATATGTGATCATTTTCTCTTGTCCCCAGGAGAGAAGATGATCAGATGATCAAGCGGGCACTTTCCTAAGATACTTCCTTAACAATTTATGATGCAGGAAGTCCCCCTGCATTGTGGGAAGGGTTCCATCATACATTGTTATTTCTCAGTTTTCAAAGTATCTAGAAATTTGGGTGGGAGTGGCATGGAATAACATCCTAAGTGAGGAAGGGAAGCATTTAAATTTGGTTGATGAACATTCAGTCAACAGGCTCTGTAAGGATACCAAGGCAATCAAAATATTTTATTGGGAAGCATAAATTTCAACATATAATTTTATAATAGGGACTAGCCCCTTGTAAACCGCTCTGAGTCCCTGGGAGGCTGAGAGGGGTGGTATATAAACAAACAAACAAACAAATAAATCAGGACAATTGGATGGTAACTCAGCATATTATGTCCTAGTATTTGCGTGTGTGTGTGTGTGTGTATGTGTATGTGTATGTGTATGTGTGTGTATATAGACACACAGACGCACACATACATACATACACACAATATAGATGGGGACTAAAAAAAAATTCGCATCATTACTCTGTCTAAAAGGAGTTGGGCACAGCAGTTTTGCTGTATAACCCAAGATGGTTGTATGTGTGCAAGTCAAATATGGAAAGACAGCCATTAGATAAATTATGCCATTCATATGTACATTGGAGAGATGTATGAGGCCTTGAAACTGGTCTCTGAAAGCCTATCCTTTACGAGGAGCCTGCTTGTCAGCAAAAAAGATCTATCAACAGAAACCTGCATCTGGGTTTGGATTGCCACTACTGGACTGGACAGAAGAACACAGTCTTTAATCAACAAAGGTGATAAAAACAGTCAGAAGAGCTCTGCTGAATCAGACCAAAGACCCATCTGGGCTAACATTCTGTTCACATAGCAGCCAATTAGTTGCTCAGAGAAATCCTGCCAGCAGAATATGAGCCAAATAGGGCTTTACTGTATCTCAGTAACAAGTTTGGAAGATTAAAAGAGAGGGACAGCTAAAACTGTTACCGTTCAAGTCCCTTGGCTGCAAGTGTGAGTAAATCAATAGGTACCACTCTGGAGGAAAGGTAATGGCACTCCATGCAGTCATGCTGGCCACATGGGTATAAATACAGTATTATTTATTATTATTATTATTATTATTATTATTATTATTATTATTATTATTGGCCACCTCTTCTCTTTCTCAGCCTAGGTTGGATCTGTCAACTTTTCCAATCTCAGAAACAGCTTGTTGCTGCTATGGTTTCTGCAAATAAGCTTTTAATTCCAAAACAACGTTGTTATTGGTGTGCCTTCAAGTTCTTTCCGCTTGTGGTGACTCCAAGGTGAACCTATCACAGGGCTGAGGCTGAAGCGGGGGCGGTGAATTGCTTGAGGTCACCTGGTAGATTTCCATGGCTGAACCGTGGTCTCTAGAATCATAGTTCAGTGCTCAAGCCACCACACAATACTGGTATATAATATACCACACTGGTATCAAAATAACATGCCTCAAATCATCTCCATTACAGAATAACAGGAATCAATATCAAACATCATTAGGACAACACTCACCAATTTAATGGTGGCATATGATTTTGATTTGATGTTTCTTGATTCAGTGCTTGTGGAGGAAAGTGTCTCCATATTTGATGAATTTCATACAATGTGATTGTCATGCCCCATAAAGACCCTCACTGTTTACCTCTAGTTAAGA